ATCCAGGGTGGACTGCAGTTTCGACCTCGCATCGGTCTTATCAACACCCTCAGCGGCAGTCGAACCGCGATAGTGCAGGATTGGAGCTTGACACGCTAACCACTCGACTACATTGCCACGAGCGCCTTTTGGGTCACAGGGAAAATGGTAGTCTCGAAACAATACTTATTGCGAAAAATGATTACAGTTTGTTCAATTTTTAGTGAGATTTTCGTACCCTTATTCCTACACCATATTAGAGAATTGTGTATTTCGTTGTGGGTACGGATCTAACCCTTACTGGCTACTCAAAATTAAAATGTCCTTTCAAGATAAACTTTTCACAAGGCAATGGATAAATTGATAGTCTTCCAAGCAAAAGTTTGAGGCACCTAACTTTTTTCCTGGTATCAATCCTTCACTTTGGAAATACTCCATTGTGTTACGTATACTATATTTTTGTTTTACTTCCCTCATTTTCTTTTATTTCATGTACCCAAGGTGCACGCTCCTCGTGACCTCTGCGTTGTTATGAGTGGTATACGTGGAGCTGATGAGCTGCCATCTCCTCATGGTGAGGCATGGCGCATGACCGAATATGAGCAGACGATCTCGGTGCCTAGCTATCTGATAACTATCGCTTGCGGACGATTGGGCTCAAAGTGAATAGCTATTTGCATTTTCCTACCTTCATTACAATTTTATTGCCCTCAGCCTAGTTCGCTTAATCTACTGGTTTCCATTTGTAGTCTCTTAGTTGTAATCACTTTTAAGAGACTTAGTAATGCATGATTACTCAAAGTATGTACTCAGGCTTCGCATTAGTGAACGACGTACCCCAGCTTTATATAGTAGAGCAAGAAAACGAGTTAAAGGTTCCACTTTTGTAAAATCAGAAAAACTACATACGAGGATTCGGAGTTAGAAAAACAAAGATGAGAGCGAGGCTTGTTGTCACTGTAGTATGTACTTCTAATGCCACGTTCTGATTTGTTCAACAGGATGACTCGATGTGGTGACTAGATTCGTATAGTCCCCATGGCACAGCGCTGTTGAGTCATGCTCCGAGTGGTGTATAGAAGTTGTTTGACCTTATTTTCGCAACTTGGTTATATTGGTAGGAAGACCTAGAGGAAGTAACCTAGTCCGAAGTCCATAGTATGCATGATAATTTCCGGAGTCGGCCCGTGGACGTGGTACATTCCCAGACGTTTTGCCGGCAACGCCAACGAGCATTGTCAGTCTTAGCACCACACTACAACCCGTCAGAGCCAATTGAAGCCGATCCTTTGACCAATTGTCTGCTAAACAATTGTGATATCTCTCCTGCCCTGGTCTATTCATTAACATTATATCCTCGCATTACCTATTACAATTTTTTTCTTTACTTATTTAAATGTGGTATGGCGTGCCCTTTTGACAGATTTCATGAGAATTTTTCATACTCCACGCTGACTTTCTCAGTCCTCACCCCTCTTCTTCCTTGTGCTTGGAATGTTGATCAGAGTCTGCCATATTGTTCCGCAATCCTTCTTCCACAGATCTTATTATAGCTTCTCTTTCTCCATAGGATACGTCTGCTATCCACTTGGTTTAAGTATTTTTCTTGACCTCTGCCAGCCTATCTGTGCTACTCGAGGCGTTATTTTCTACCCCCTGCCTATGGAAGACTAATATGAGACTAAAGATCCGAGTAATTCTCATGGTTAAGCTTTTGCTTTATGAACTACCTCTGATCAAACACCTCTACTTTTAGCCAACTAGCTCTAGTCTCCGCCGCATCTATCGTTCTTTAATCCATAATGCCAAGTGTATGACTTCCTATGCCCTAGTCTCCTGTGTGACAAACCACACATGCTGTGGTATGACACTATGGATAGAACCACGATAGATGCGGTGAAGACTAGAGCTAGTTGGCTAACAGTATAAGTGTTTGCTCATAGCCGTGGTCCATGAAGCAAAGGCTTGACCATGAGAATTACTCGAGCTCTTTAACTTCAAGTTAGTCTCCC